ATTGCGAAGTCTTGTTTTACTGCGGTTTACATTTCTGAGCGTTTTTCTCTGTTTTGCCTGCCTGTTGTGACCCTGTCTGTACCTCGTTGATGATACTCTGCTACCTGCCTTCTGGATTATCCGCCTTGTCTCTAAGTTGTGATTCATTGCCACCTGCCCCGACTTTTAGCCTGTTTACTGACAACGATTGTGTTTGCCCCCTGTCACTGTGTTTGCTGGTATGTGACCATTGCCTGTTTGACCACGATTGTAAATAAAGCCTGCTTATGGATCCCACTCCGAGTGACGCTTCGTTACATCTGTAGAGTGATCTGCTCTGAAAGAATCTCTATATCTAAAGAGGATACCTTTTTTAAAAAGAGAAATATTCTTTTTAATTTTTGGGCATATTGGTTCCTCCTCGGTAGCTGTGGTCACCATTTACTTTCATTGAATTGAAAAGAGCAGCTTGGACATTATGCTAAATTTATTTTGTGTTCCTCAGAAGAAAGTCATTTTGGTTTTGAATGACTTGAGGGTGAGTAAATTATTACAGAATTTTCATTTTTGAGAAGAATATTCCTCTAATGTATTATAAGAAGGTTGTACATTTCACCTCAGGGCATTAAAGAGAAAATTGCAATATAGAAATATTCTATAACAGGTGTTAATTTTGTTCAAAACCTATTTAAAGCAAGTTCTATAACTCAAAATGTAATTTAGTCTTTCTTTCATGAATTGTATTGCCATAAAACTAGAGATTAGAACTGTCTATTGTGCCACTTTTAAAATGTGGCTGTGTTTGGGTGTGATAGTGTGATAGTGTGATTTGACTGTGCGGCTGCACGGAGAGCAGCCCTGGTGTAATGCCGCCTCATCTGGGAGTTGGTGGAGGAGCTCGTGTGAAGCGTTTGTCTGGAGGAGATTAGCGCTGGCTCTTCCCTAAAGGCACTGATTGTTTTTCGTCCACAGAGCCTCCCTGCCTGGCTGAGCTAGAGCGAATCCAAGTGCAAGAAGGAGCCAAGAAGAATCCAGGTATGAATGAACGCTCCGCTGAGACTCGCTGTACTATCGCGGGAAAAGCAAATTAAGGTGTGAAGGAGAGGAACAAAGGGAGAACCAGAGAAAGAGGTTATATAGAATATATACAACTTGTAGAAGAAAGAATGGAAGAAAGAAGGTCTGTAAAAGGAAAACGAGGCAGAAGGGAGGTAAGATGTAAACTCTGAAAAACAAAGAGGCTTTGCGGCTCTGGCAAAAGTGACTCTAGAGGAGTTTCATTTAACAGATGACAAGCACAAGGCTGAGATTAGCCCCTAATCAGGTGTGTGGATTAGAGCGGCGCTCATGGCTGTGGGCAGTGCTGCATGTTTGGCTGCAGCGCTCTTAGGACTCTCCAAGGACATGCTGCAGATGCTTCAGCCTATCAGAGGCAGCCAAAATGCAAACAGCCCCCAAAGCCTGAGAACAAATATCAATGTATATAATACAAATAAAGTGTTTCATTGTTATTGTGAAAGATTAACCCATGTTTACTCTGAGGTGCATTTATTATTAAATCACAAAAGGAAGAAAATCTCCTATTGTAATATCTAAACCTATAAAATAAACCTTTTTTCCCCTATATGATACATATTAAGAGAGTTACACATCTGTGCATTCCAAAAAATATAATATTAATATTCCATAGTGCATTACCACTTTTGCCAGCCATGTTGAATAAATGTTCAAAAATAGAAAAGATGACAGTCCTAAGAAAAAGCCTAACCTAGAAAGTGCAACCTGTGTTTAACACTATAATGCATTTATAGTTAAATCACAATACAAAAATGTTTATTTTTTACTTATTATATTATTTTTTAAAACAGAAATATAATAATTTTCTGCCTTTTTTAATTGCATATTTTGAGAGGACTATACATCTGTCCATTGCTATGCAAGATTATGATAAATATTCCAGAGGTTCAAGGAGTATCACCATATTTGTCAGCCTCGTTTAATTTATGTTGTCATAAATATAAAACACAATTACATAAAAAGAAGACAGTCATGTAGAATTATGGGTAAGTGTCAAAGGAAAAGCTTAACCCTAAAAAACAAAAAAACAATCTGTCTTTAACCCTCTGAGGCATTACTTATTAAATTATATATATATATATAATTTATTTTTCTTTATTTTTTTCTTTTTTTTAGAGTTGCACATGGTCATCACTTGCACCAGCTGCTTAATTTATGTTCTCGTAAATAAAAAGCACACAAAGACATAAATAGGACAGTCAGGCTGAATTATGGGTAAGGGTCAATGGAATCACCCGTGGTGGTGGTGGTGGTTAGGATATAACATCACATTCTGAATGGTTAAAACGGGCTTTTAAAGATTTGTCCCTTAGTACACTCAGTGCATCAGAGGGTTAAATCCTGCATTTCATTGCTAAATAGATCATGATGATTATGTGGACATATATATGTTTATTACACCGTGCAGTTGTTTTTTATCGTGCATCATGATTCGAGACACTGCAGACAGAAACCCAGCCCTCAACCCTCGCCAAGGTTACATTTTATGCATTACAATGAGCAGTGTCACTTGAGTCTGTCACATGATTTACAGCAATATGCAAACTAGTTTGCAATGTCACCCGTGATGCAACACTCATTTTGTATAGGATATGAAAATGAATGTAAAATGTTCTCAAAGCGTGCGTGTCTGTGTGTTTCTCTCCCTACTTGTTTCAGATACATACATTCCCAGCTGTGATGAGGACGGCTTTTACAGGAGACTGCAGTGTGACAAGAGCAGAGGGGAGTGCTGGTGTGTGGACCAGCATGGAGGAGAGTTAATGGGCTCCAGAATCCATGGCAACCCCGACTGTGGTGAGCACAACACACACACACACACACACACACTACACAGAGGACAATGCTCTTTCTGTAGCTACAGGGCTTAGGGCTTAGATCCACAAAATCATCAGTCACCCATCTGACAGAAGACCAAGTGCTACATTCATTAGGCCAGGTTCATTTCCATTCCAAAAGAGCAGTTGTCTCACTGAAATAAAGGTCCTTAAGATTAATTACTACTGGCTGCGACGGACCTGCAGGTGATAAGAACAAATCCCCTGACTGGACATAAAATAGCGATTAAAAAGCCAAAAGTCAAAGTCACATCTCCTGTTTGTTTATTGTTCTCACACCAAGCGCATATTGTTTAGCCTAAATCGCTTGCAATATTTTTTTTAACAACATTTCCCTTTTGCAGACGAGGTGGTCATGTATTCTGGCGATTTTGGCAGCGGGCTCGGATGGGAAGATGAGGAGGAAAAGGAGGCGGAGGAGAACGGCGAGGAGGCTGAGGAGGAGGAAGGGGAGGTGGGGGAGGTAGATGACGGTGGATACATTTGGTAAAACGAAACGTGATTCTCACCTTATTCGACGTAGCTTTCTGTGGCCCATTTCTACAGAGGCAGCTCTATCTTCTGACATTAAACGGTGGACACTGGAGGGTCTGTCATCTTTATACTGCACTCCAAACAGCATTGACTTGGGGAGGACGGGGGGGAGGGCGGCTTGGTTAGTGTTAGCTGTAGTGAGATTACGGTATTGGGAAAGAGTTTTCGATTATTGGGCTTATGGATACTTGTGAAACATCATATTTTTGTTGTAAGTGCAAGAGTTTTCTCCTGAATCAGTCTCTAGCATCTGCAAACACGAGCTCAGAATTAGGCGCTTGATGTGATGCATTCTTATGCAAGTCTAATAAGTACATACTTTCGTCACTATACATTCAGAAATGATACCTGTTAAGTCTAAAGCTACTTTTTAAAGTATGTATATAAAAATAGACAGGCTTCAGGGTCTAACCTGTTTCATTAGATCTTCTGTCGACCATCAACAACTGCTTTCTTTGGGAACTGAGACTGCTGCTAATGTTTTTGCTGTTAGAGTTTCTGTGAATTCTTTTAAATGTCCTCCAAATGATTTAGCATATATGAACACAGATCACTATAAATACAAAGAGACACAAAGTCCAAAAACATCAAGAGCTAAGTTAGCTTAGCTTAGCTCAGCTCAAAAAGCTAAGACTGTTACCCTGTTCTGACTGAAACAGTCTCTGCATCATTTCGTTGCTACCTTGAAGTAGATATAGTCATAAATGTCTTGAGATAAAGTAGCCTTGTCAGTGTAATTGAAGAACTGTTTCTCCACGCTCACAAACTACAACCGATTTTAGGCTACTTGCCAGAAATACACAATGCATTTCTACAAGACGATCCTTGTCCTAAAGGCACTATTTTTTTCCCTGTCTTTTGTGTAATAATCCACCGAAACCAGAGATGGCAAAGCATTATATTTTCATATAAATTATGCCTCAATGCAGTAGCTTTCTCCCTCAGCCCGACGTCCAAATCATTGTTTTCTTTGAAATGGACAGTCATAAATCCTGAGATATGTGCGCTCTGGTTTCATATGTCTGTCATAATAGAATTTGCTTATACTCCACTAGGTCAGGCTGTAATACGGTACTTCTGATGCAACATAACGAGGCAGTGTATGGATGAACAGGAGAGGCAGGAATGAGCTTTCGAAAATGCATTCTGACATATTCTCTCTCATATACCCAAAGGGACCAATCTGTTTTTGTAGATGTCTTCTAATCAGATCTTCCCATCATTTGCAGTGAAAGATGGCTGTAATGTTCCTAGGTGTAAATCTGGTGCTGAAGGGATTTATATTCAAGGTCTGAATCGTAAAATCTACGACTAAAGGTAAAGTACATGAGTCTTGCAGTAAAAAATATCTAAAGCATCAGTTTTTATGGTTAAAATGCTGTAAAACATGTATGAGTTACAGACTCGGTCTGGTATGATAATTCACTCAGTCGTGATTTCGAAGTTCCACACAGGCAAGAGAAAATGCATTTTATATGGTAACATCCCCAACGTAAACACATTCATCAATGTACCGCGTCATCTACAGAAGAAAATGAATCCTCCAATATATATATATATATATATAATTTATTTTTCTTTATTTTTTTCTTTTTTTTAGAGTTGCACATGGTCATCACTTGCACCAGCTGCTTAATTTATGTTCTCGTAAATAAAAAGCACACAAAGACATAAATAGGACAGTCAGGTTGAATTATGGGTAAGGGTCAATGGAATCACCCGTGGTGGTGGTGGTGGTTAGGATATAACATCACATTCTGAATGGTTAAAACGGGCTTTTAAAGATTTGTCCCTTAGTACACTCAGTGCATCAGAGGGTTAAATCCTGCATTTCATTGCTAAATAGATCATGATGATTATGTGGACATATATATGTTTATTACACCGTGCAGTTGTTTTTTATCGTGCATCATGATTCGAGACACTGTAGACAGAAACCCAGCCCTCAACCCTCGCCAAGGTTACATTTTATGCATTACAATGAGCAGTGTCACTTGAGTCTGTCACATGATTTACAGCAATATGCAAACTAGTTTGCAATGTCACCCGTGATGCAACACTCATTTTGTATAGGATATGAAAATGAATGTAAAATGTTCTCAAAGCGTGCGTGTCTGTGTGTTTCTCTCCCTACTTGTTTCAGATACATACATTCCCAGCTGTGATGAGGACGGCTTTTACAGGAGACTGCAGTGTGACAAGAGCAGAGGGGAGTGCTGGTGTGTGGACCAGCATGGAGGAGAGTTAATGGGCTCCAGAATCCATGGCAACCCCGACTGTGGTGAGCACAACACACACACACACACACACACACTACACAGAGGACAATGCTCTTTCTGTAGCTACAGGGCTTAGGGCTTAGATCCACAAAATCATCAGTCACCCATCTGACAGAAGACCAAGTGCTACATTCATTAGGCCAGGTTCATTTCCATTCCAAAAGAGCAGTTGTCTCACTGAAATAAAGGTCCTTAAGATTAATTACTACTGGCTGCGACGGACCTGCAGGTGATAAGAACAAATCCCCTGACTGGACATAAAATAGCGATTAAAAAGCCAAAAGTCAAAGTCACATCTCCTGTTTGTTTATTGTTCTCACACCAAGCGCATATTGTTTAGCCTAAATCGCTTGCAATATTTTTTTTAACAACATTTCCCTTTTGCAGACGAGGTGGTCATGTATTCTGGCGATTTTGGCAGCGGGCTCGGATGGGAAGATGAGGAGGAAAAGGAGGCGGAGGAGAACGGCGAGGAGGCTGAGGAGGAGGAAGGGGAGGTGGGGGAGGTAGATGACGGTGGATACATTTGGTAAAACGAAACGTGATTCTCACCTTGTTCGACGTAGCTTTCTGTGGCCCATTTCTACAGAGGCAGCTCTATCTTCTGACATTAAACGGTGGACACTGGAGGGTCTGTCATCTTTATACTGCACTCCAAACAGCATTGACTTGGGGAGGACGGGGGGGAGGGCGGCTTGGTTAGTGTTAGCTGTAGTGAGATTACGGTATTGGGAAAGAGTTTTCGATTATTGGGCTTATGGATACTTGTGAAACATCATATTTTTGTTGTAAGTGCAAGAGTTTTCTCCTGAATCAGTCTCTAGCATCTGCAAACACGAGTTCAGAATTAGGCGCTTGATAGGTGTGATGTGATGCATTCTTATGCAAGTCTAATAAGTACATACTTTCGTCACTATACATTCAGAAATGATACCTGTTAAGTCTAAAGCTACTTTTTAAAGTATGTATATAAAAATAGACAGGCTTCAGGGTCTAACCTGTTTCATTAGATCTTCTGTCGACCATCAACAACTGCTTTCTTTGGGAACTGAGACTGCTGCTAATGTTTTTGCTGTTAGAGTTTCTGTGAATTCTTTTAAATGTCCTCCAAATGATTTAGCATATATGAACACAGATCACTATAAATACAAAGAGACACAAAGTCCAAAAACATCAAGAGCTAAGTTAGCTTAGCTTAGCTCAGCTCAAAAAGCTAAGACTGTTACCCTGTTCTGACTGAAACAGTCTCTGCATCATTTCGTTGCTACCTTGAAGTAGATATAGTCATAAATGTCTTGAGATAAAGTAGCCTTGTCAGTGTAATTGAAGAACTGTTTCTCCACGCTCACAAACTACAACCGATTTTAGGCTACTTGCCAGAAATACACAATGCATTTCTACAAGACGATCCTTGTCCTAAAGGCACTATTTTTTTCCCTGTCTTTTGTGTAATAATCCACCGAAACCAGAGATGGCAAAGCATTATATTTTCATATAAATTATGCCTCAATGCAGTAGCTTTCTCCCTCAGCCCGACGTCCAAATCATTGTTTTCTTTGAAATGGACAGTCATAAATCCTGAGATATGTGCGCTCTGGTTTCATATGTCTGTCATAATAGAATTTGCTTATACTCCACTAGGTCAGGCTGTAATACGGTACTTCTGATGCAACATAACGAGGCAGTGTATGGATGAACAGGAGAGGCAGGAATGAGCTTTCGAAAATGCATTCTGACATATTCTCTCTCATATACCCAAAGGGACCAATCTGTCTTTGCAGATGTCTTCTAATCAGATCTTCACATCATTTGCAGTGAAAGATGTGTTGGCTGTAATGTTCCTATGGTGCTGCAGGGATTTATATTCAAGATCTGAATCTTAAAATCTATGACTAAAGGTGAAGTACATGAGTCCCGCAGTAAAAAATATCTAAAGCATCAGTTTTTAGGGTTAAAATGCTGTAAAACGTGTATGAATTACAGACTCGGCCTGGTATGTTAATTCACTCAGACGGGATTTCGAAGCTCCACATAGGCAAGAGAAAATGCATTTGATATGGTAACATCCCCAGCATAAACACATTCATCAATGTACCGCGGCGTCTACAGAAGTATATAAATCCTCCAAATGTCATTGAGACGAATCTTGACGATATTTAAATTAGTTGTGGATTATCATATATGACGCCACCTTGCTGGTGTGATGGAGTGGAAAGATGGCCTGCTCATTAAAAGTCAATAGTGAATGTCCTGATGTCTTACTCAGCAGTGTACATGAGTCTGCTAACAGTGATGTTATACCACTTGGACTAGTGTATGATTGTATTGTACTGTACATGCCATTATTACTGTAAATACTTGGATTTACTGATTAGAAAACATTATATTTACGCTGAGTTGCAGTATATTTGCATTTAGTTGCATGTTTCTTTGTCCGAGTGTGTCATCTTTCTTGCCTGAATATGATTAAAGGCACTGGGCCTGAAAGTGCTGTTCCTTTGTTCTCCTAATTACTCCCAAGACTCTGCGACATGCTAATTTTCATGTGATACTGGAGACATGAGAAAACAAATCTTTTCAACCCACTTTTAAACACATTTTTTGAACAAGTGCAATTTATAATAACTACCAAAAATACCCAACAAAAGCTGGCTCTCAAGGCATACAAGAGTCACCAGAGGGTTCAAAAAAGAAGACATATTTTCACTTTAATAGAAGGCATGATGTAAACACATCTTTCAAATATTCACTTATTGTCATTAAGAAAATTAAACCGTATTTAATATTAAGAAGAAAAAATGTGCATGATGAAATTATAATTATCTGCTATTATACTCTATTATAATACTGCACTGATTCATTATTGACACACATTTCACATTTTAGCAATCCAGTGTAGCTTGCTTGGCATCAATCTAAAATAGTTAGAGAACAGTTTTCAGCCTTGGTTTCTAACCGTTTTAGGTTTTCATCCCTGGTTTCTAACTATTTTACAAAAAAGCATATGATGAAGCTCTGCTATAATACTGCATTGTTTTAGTGTTGGCACACATTCATATATTAGTGATCCAGTGCAGCAAACACTCTAAAATTGGAATTAGAAACCAGGACTGAAAAAAAAAATTATATGTATTTTTTAATCCTAAATCGTTACAAATGTAGTTATATGACATGATACGTAGTGCTGAAAAGAACAATGTTTTGTTTTGACCAGTCGTTGTGTTCACTTGCTTGTATCTGATTAAAATGTAAAAAAAACTAATTTGGAGACTGATTAAAGCTTGCTCTGAAGGCTTTGTAGTCTCCATATCTTCCTGACATCTTCCTCTGCACTGTCTAAGACCTTAAGCACAGCAGCATCTCCCGTTTGAGCAAAACGTCTCAGCAGAGGCTCCAGAACAGTCACTGGGATGCTGAAGTTCAGGTGGGGATATGTCACTTTTGCTGCAAAGTCTCTTGTGTTACTGGACACGATACCTAATATTGGAATATAGAAGATAAAAAAAACATGAGAAAGCCTACGAAAGCTTGATTTAAACAGACATTGTCATCAAATGAGAGCTGGAATGCTTTGATGCCGAACTATAAGGGAGAAAAATATGCTTAATTGGTCACATGGTGCCCCCTTCTGGTTAGAGAAGGTATTGTATATTTCAATCTCCACTGAATACTGCATTTTTACTGAACAACTGGTTGATGTTCTGATAAACAAAACATTTTCCTTTAATTCCTAACTACTTAAAATTAAACGTGTAATGATATTACCTAGCAATTCCCCAGTGGCAGAGCAGACCACAGCACCACCACTGGCTCCAGACTGCACTGCACAAGTAGTCTGCAGCATCACAGGCCGTGACTGATTGGTAATAACTCTGGATAAGATCCCTGAGGTCAATGAAGGGCCACAGCTGCTCCCTAAAGCTCCATAATCCACAACAAGCACATCCTCACCTAAAAAACACACACAACATGAGAATTCCAGGTGCTGCACATGGACAAAGTACACACAGTTACAAAATATTGTATATAAACTGAAATGGATCATTATATTTATAATACATTTAAATGTGTTAAATGAGTTAGTGTATATATAGTCATCATTCTGTAAGTAATATATTTAAATGTATCTATGTTCCTTTTCAGCATGATACATAGTGCTGGAAAGAAAAATGTTTTGTTTTGACCAGTCATTATGTTCACTTGCTTGTATCTGATTAAAATAAAATCAGTTTAAGGGATGCAGGAATTTAAGCAGGATTTCTGTGTAATCTGAAATAGTCAAGTTAAAAGAAATTGTAAGTATCACTGAAATTTTATTACACTAATTTTTATGTTGAAATGACACAAGTCATAATTTGACAATTCTGACTTATTGTCATAATTGCTGTCCTAATATTTACTTTTTATGTGTATTTTGTCACTTGACTTGCCATAATTTCAACTTGCATGCCATAGTGCCATAAGTCATAATTATGTAATAATTTTTACTTTTATGTCATAAATAATTATGACTTCTCATAATTTTGACATTTCATGCCATAATTATGACGTTTTATCTCATAATTTCGACTTTTTGTTAATTATCTTAGAATTATGACATAGTGTGTCACAATTTTGCCTGTTTATTTCTACATGATTTACCAAAGCATGATTTTTTCTTATGACAGAAGTAAGCTTCCATAGTTTTGTTATACATATTTTGTATGTAAAAGACTGGAGTTAAATATAAAAATATAAATGTAGTGTCAAAATCGATACAAAACCACCTGATATTTGGATATGAGGTTGTCACATATATAAACTGACACACTGGAAGGAACAAATATAATTTTTCTTATGTTGGTGGCATTAGACATCCACAGAAAAATCACACCAAAATCTCAAAACAAACATGCTAAATATGAGTTTCAATAAAACAGGTTTGCAGCACATTACCTGGGTGAAAGTATGTGGTAAACTGTGTTTTTACTGAGTCTACGAGGGGTTCCTGAAGCTCCACCACAGCGATATCAAAGGGAGATGATGGTGCTGATGAATACAGCACCTTACCACTTACTGCATGAAATCTGAGGTGGAAAGTTTAGATATTATTACAAATCCCATGGTGATTAAAAATACCAATAACGTGTAAGTTTTAACAAAGATCACCAAACAAAATGTCACTTCTTTAGGCCTTATAATTATGAATATGAATGAATTCAAAGCCCATTACCTTTCTCCAAAGTTGACTCTGACTGTAAGCACAGATTTTTCATTCACCACATGCCTTCAGGTCAGAACCAAATTCTGGTTTAGCAGCACACCAGAACCCCACAGCTGGCCGCTCTCAATCAGCACCACTCCAGGGTAAAATTCAGAGCCTGGCTTTCGGTTTGCAGTTAATGGAGCTTGAAGAGAGCCAGTAATTAACTGAGATGACTTTTCTATCAGCGACTCCTGGATGGCACCAGCCTGTGGCATGTTTTTCAGAATCAGGTGAACCGAGCACACAAGTGTCAGCCCAATCCATTCATCTGATTTCCAGCACAGTGGTGAAACGATCAAACCCACAAGGTAAGATCTGCTTTCTTTGCTAACAAACACACCACCTCCTTCGGTGCCAGGCAAGCAGCGGGCATCAGTCAGGATCAGGGCATTCGCATCTCCTGCCAGATTACTAACTATACCTTTACTAATTGTGTTCATGAAGAGGTCTGGACAGAGACCACCGAAAGGAGACCCACATGCGATAACATGACATCCCTTTTTAAGACTGCCACTCTTCACCCATGGAATAGTTTCCTTACAGGTGCATGAGGATGAAGTGGGCACTTTTAAAAGTGCAAACCAACTTAAAAACCTGGAGTCTTCTAGAACTTCTGTATCCAATGTGCCACTACAAAAGCTCCAGTTATCAGACCCTTTGAAGATCTGAACAATTCGTTTCATAGAACCGGTTCAGTGATTCTTTTACGTTCCCAGACATAAAAATACGATCGTTATGTCCGTCAAACCATTCGTGAACGAGTCATTTTCGCTTTGTAAATAAATAGACGAGACATTAACCGGGTTTGTTAACCGGTTCATCAGATTCATTGAAAAGATCCAACTCCAAAGAAAGTTTCGTTAACAAATCAGACGTCGTTTATACATTGGACTGGGTTCTTGTGCAACAATGTGCTCGTTCATTCTGATGGTCACGTCACAAAGGATTCAGTATGGCCAAATAACCTTTTTTTTTTTTTTTTTACTTGACTAGAATGTCACAATTGTTTTAAATGTTTATTAAAATTGCTTTCTACGATTAATAATTTCATATAGGCCTACATATATGTATGATTTCTTTGAGATCAAAGTACACACAGAAAATATATATTTTTTTTTATTTTTGTTTGCTTACTTCAGTGCATAAATGCTACAAAGTGCTACATGTGGCATGTACATAATCAGCCATTTCAAAAGATAAGCAGCATTGAAACTCCCAATCCTTTCACTTAAGCCTATTTACAAGTATGGGTAAAAGTGACCTAGTAATATGACATTTTCTATTGCACAGGCATATTTTCTATTAATTAAAAAAGCCTATATACTCTCATGCCATAACTGCAAATAAGTTACAGATGGCAGTCAACAAGTACTCATTACACAGTCAGGTAGTTTAATGTTGAAACAGGCTAATGTAGACATCACTGGCACTGAGTGCTACATAAGCACAGTCTTAAAAGTATCAAAATACTACATACAAATCAAATATTTGCACTTTTAATATATTAGATAGAAATATTTCATTTTAAATCTCAGGTCATTTTGATAAGCAAGCATGTATACACTGGCAATGCACACCAAATCACTTCAGAAGTTTTTCCTTTGAACAGGTGGGAAATACAGAACTAGGGGAAAAACCACCAACATTAAGGCACTGAGGTAATGTAACGTGAAACCAAAAACACTGATTCTGTATCTTCTGATGATTTCACAGCACAAGTGATGTTCACCTGATTAAAATACTTGTTTTAAATGTTCAATAGTATGTTTACCTTTCACATGGCATAAAATTGACACTGGATTGAAAAAAGCATTCTGTAACTTGATGCCACCTCTTAAAATAACCCAGCTCAGTCAACTGTTAAAGCAAACTGTATTTCTATCCCTGCTTTTAGAAAAGAAAACAGCATAAATTACTGCTAAGGTAAACATAACTTATGTAAGTAATTGCTACTGTAGCTTGAATGAATGCATATCTCAGATACTTCTCTATCACCACACTGGATTTTATTGGCTCAGATAATATATATATAACACCCCTGGTTACTAGTTTCTTTACAACATAAATAATCAATTAATAAATAGGATACACAGGTTTTTAATTAATAAACACATTAAATATGTTAATCGATATATTGAGAAAGCCATCGAAAACCTTCACCATATCCTTGTCTCTTCAACACACTGCACATAAAGACTTCCATTGGCCTCAGGTTCAGTTCTTTCAGTGATGCATTCCCCTGTGTGAGACAAAAGACCATGTACTGCTCCAGAAAATATCATTCATTGTGTTAAATATACTGTACAAGTAATAAATATATTACCTCAATGACCTACCTTTCCTGTGGTGTGTCCATAAAGTCCAAACATTCCTCTCAGCGCATCCTCACTAATGGCTTCTGGACGGTCGATTTTATTCCCCAAAATAAGGATTGGCACATTGGAGATGGTTTCATCAGTTAAGAGGGCCTATGATTAAAAAGCAAGGTGCCCTCATTATTATTCAAATACATGGCTGTTTTTTGATTGGTGGGACTGGGAAGAAATTTAAATTAGTGCAGTGATGTTCCTTTGCACTGTCAAACATAGGTACAAAACTTTCACGGAGCGGACAACTTTGTACCTTTTTTCTGAGAGTTTGAATGTGTTCAAAGTTAAACATTCATTAGTAAATAACTGGTCATAGACAAAACCATTGATTATATTTATAAAAACAAGTAAAAAGTAGACTTACATCCAACTCAATTTTGGCTTCTAGTAGACGTTCATGGTCAGCACAATCAACAAGATACACTATCCCATTTATTGCTGGAAGATAATTCCTCCAAACCCTTCTTGCTGAGGATTGAGAATAGATCAAATCAATTTGCATTGTGTTTAAGGTTGTTCTAGAATTTCTAAACAAATTTGTTTATATATATTTTTCAAATAAATCTCCTTTTAACTATAGCGGTGATTTTCTTTTAAATTCTGAAATTTTAATTCCAAATATACATTAATCATTTATTAATAAATTCTATATTTACCTTGAGCATGTCCACCCAGGTCAAATGTTGTGAAAGTCATCCCAGCAATAGACAGTTCTTCAGATGCTAACAGATAAGACAAGATACGGTACATTGTGTACAATGATTGCTTCAACATACAGAATTCAATTTGTAAGAATAAGCCATTCTGTTTTTGTACTTTCCTTTAAAATGTATACAGCTCATATTAAAAGAGTAAAACATGCTGCACTTTAGGCAACTTACTAGGGTGAAGTGTTGGAACATGTTGTCCAAGTCGATCATCTTTAAGCATGTGCAATAATGTTGTTTTTCCGGCATTGTCTAATCCTAGAAAAACTAATTTCCCAGACTTTTTATAGAGTCCTAAAATGAAATGAGATTATGAAAGCACAAAAAAATCAGCTACATTATTATTTGTTCATTTCAGTATCTGCCTGATACTTTACCTAATAATTGTAACACACTGCTGAATCCTCTGTACAGCCAATCAAATATGAAAGACATTTTTGTAGCCTGTTCCCTGAAATAAAATAGCAGCAGAATGAGAGAATTGTTTCAATGCAGTACAAGATCCAAGACTATTCAAGGGGCTCTGCTAACTCCAGAATAAGCTCTTTACCTAAATCTACTGTAAGCAGGTGAAAAACAGCTGATACTACGTTACTAAATGACCCAAGTTAACGTTTTGTCTCCAAGAGTGCATTTAAGAAAAGAAACATAAACCCCCTCGTAGCTATTAACCAATATCCCGCACACAACATGCGCAAGAAACTATTTCTAGTTGTGAGACCTTGTCACTTGACGCCATGGATATAGCACACAGACATAGCTGTCACTCAAATGACAGCAACTCGCGTTCAAATTCAAGTGCATTTTTACACATTAATAAGGGTTTGCATTGTAAATTAAGATGAATACATGTGCAAATATTACTGTTCCCCAACTGTACCTTAAATGTAAACATCGCAGTATACACAGCCCAAGCGCGTTTTTCTAGAAACTTGTCCATGGAGGCGCTTTAAAACACACTCAAAACAACAGCCAGATATGCTGAAGTTGAATGAGCAAAGTAGGGTATTGTAAAGGTAAAAACGCTCACTATGGCGTTTTAGATGAAACCTTAATACCTGGCTTTTAGTTAAAAATGTTTCTATTAAACATTGTAGCCAATGTCTAAATTTATAATCGCGTCATATGCAAACAGCACAGAACACGATACGTTCTAATAGGAAAATATTCGTGTCAATACCTGGAAGGGTCCTCTTCTGTTGTAGACCAGTCAGTCCGGTCTGTATTCTACTGCTAAAAAACAGCCCGAATTTGACGTTTAACCGGAACTGCGTAGCTGCATAGGGTGGTCTCAGATCGATTGTAGGTTAATGTGTTGGCATCTGGTTGCTAAATGTTGACGGACTTGAGGCTGTGGGTTCTTCTGACAGCTAAGACTTTACATTCAAGTTTGGGATCGGTAAGATTTTTTAAAAATGTTTTTAAAACAAGTATTTTATTCTCACTGCAAGGCTGCATTCGTCAAAACCAGTAATATTGTGAAAAATTATTACAATTTAAAAGAACTGTTTTCTATTTTAATATATTTTAAAAGGTAATTTATTACTATGAAAAGCGTATATTTCAGCAGGCATTACTCAATTGTTACATGATCCTTTAGAAATCATAATACTGATAATACATAATATTGTAGGAAAAAAATATTAAACTGTTGTTGAAATTCTACATGGTAAAGCATTAGTTCATCCAAAAAATTGTCATCATTTTTTGTTCCACAATTGTATGACATTGTTTCATGAATGCTAGGTAGAATGGCATCTCCAGTCACCATTCACTTACACTGTATGGGAAAAAAACATGCAATGAAAGTAAATGAGGCTGCCAGCATAATATCCGTTGTTGCACAGAACAAAGAAAGTCACGTGGGTTTGAAACAACATGAGTTGGAGTAATCAACAGAATATTTAAATTATGTAAAGACAATCTAATACAGAACAAAAAAAGTATTAACAAAAATGTCTGATAGTAGTGTCATATGAGAAAAGCTTTATTAAAGCATTTGTTCAGAATTTTACAGTACCTGAGTTTGACCAGACTATTAGCTAACTTTAGTATCTGTTACACAGAATATCTAACCATTATCAAATACAACTTAACTTAGCAAGACATTGGTTAGCTCCCCTAAATGTTAATGTGAGATTCAGTCCCCAGATAAGGTGTTAAGTGCCCCTGTTTTCATAAAATACCATTATTCTAGACAGATAATGACATACATATTCGAAACATGATCAGACTGGTCCGTTCACAGTGTTATGTTCTTCAGTTCTTTGCATAGTAGAACCATTTGTCAACTGAAAAAGACAGCACAACAAAGTAAATATCATGTCACATCTTGAAAGAAAAAGTGTAAACGCAAACTGAATGGATAAGTAACAGTAAAAATATTTTTTAAAAATGGACAGATTTTTAAGAGATCTGATGTTTCACTGTAAAAAAAAAAAAAAGAGACAAAAATGAAATCAAACCTGAGCTTGGAACTAGACCAGCCTCTCCACATGGGCAAGACTGAAAAATGAAAAGAAAAATTTGTTTCAGTTACCACAATAGTGAAGTCATAAGGAACCACTACTGATGCTAGTCATCTGTATATACAATTAATAAAACAGTGAATAAATTAATTGAAAGCAAAAACAAAGTTCTTACTCCGTCAACAACTGCTTTGGCTTCATCTACCGAACAGCAGAATGGACTGTCTCCCTCTGAGACACACGTGTTCTTGCTGCACAGTAAAAGAGAAAAAAGCAACATGACTTATGTTAAAAGGGGGGGAAAGCAAAGAAAATTATTTTATATTTTATATCATGTTGATGTGTTCCAGCAGTAAACCATGTCTACAACAGGATTTATCTGTAGTGATTGAAAATGAAAGTGCAAACAGTCAGAGCTGAAATAAAATACTATGCAAAATAAGCAAACAAATGCAGACCACTGAAGAAACATTCCCTTACCAGTTTAGTTCTCCAGCATTGGTTTGCTGTGAGATCAGTGCCTTCCAGAAGCCATGTGTGGCTTTGATTGTCTCAGTGGCAAAGTCCTGGAATAAATGTAGCATTTTTATATGACAAAATATGACCAATCACAAATTAAAGCTTGTTTACAACAATTTTCGGAACTACACACCTTGTCTTTGAACTCTCCGTTGAATGCAAACTGGTTTTCAGGTTTCCCATCAGGTACCTTGTACCTCCTGAACCAGTCAACAGTGGCCTCAAGGTAGCCAGGCTTGAGTCGCTTCACGTCACTAATGTCTATATTTCACACCAGAAAAATGGTAGCAATCACATACAGTATATGTGTCTCTCTTCTAAGTCAAGTGGAAAGCAATGAGTGTAACTTACTGTTCAAGTCCTTTGCCTCAGGGTCATCAACGTTGATTGCAATGACTTTCCAATCAGTTTCACCTTCATCAATCATTGCTAAAACACCCAGGACTTTCACTTTGATAACATCTCCACGACAGCACACCTGTGAAGATCAAGCATTGTGGGTTTTGTTTATCTAATTCAACTGTAGCTGCACATATGACAGCTTGCTTTATAATTTTGGCTTTATTTCACAGAATAAGACAAACACTGATACCTATACCTTGTTTCCAATTTCACAGACATCGATTGGGTCATTGTCACCACAACACCCTGTGTCATTGTCTTTGTGCCCAGGGTCTTCCCATGTCTGTCAGAAAAGATTTAAAGAAAGTCGTTGTAAAATCTAGGGGGGAAAAAGACACAATGGCACATGCAATTCACATCTACAAGAAAGGTTTTTAATTTCAGTTTGAATAATGCTAAACTGTGTCACTCTCCATCAAGATCACTGGAATGCAGTGAGATGGAATGTATTTCTCCAGAAATTAAGGAAAATCTGTACAATTGTCTTTTCATATTGACAAGCCATACTAAAAGCATCAAGTACTAAAATAATCAGTTTAAAGTTGTGTTCATGAAGATGGAATGCATATAAACTAACATTTAAAAGTTTGGGGTCAATAAGATTTTTTCAAACAAATGAACACTTTTGTGATCATAACGATATTTATTATGATATAAAAGATGAATGGAATGTTTCTTGAGCAGCAAATCAGCATATTAGAATGATTTGAGAATGTGACACTGAAGACTGGAGAAATGGCTTCTGAAAATTCAGCTTTGCCATCACAGAAATAAATAACATTTTAAAATATATTAAATAAGACAACCGCTTTTAAAAATTGTAATATCATAATATTCTACTGTATTTTTTATCAAATAAATGCAACCTTGGTGAGCATAAGATATTTCTTTCCAAAAAAAATATTTAAAGAATTTAAAAAAAAATATTACTGACCCCAAACATTTGAACAGTAGTATTTTAAACAGTTAACTGATTCCAGAAACTCAAGCAGTTTCTACCTTCTGTCCGTTTTATTCTTTGTGTTTAATGTGTCTGAAGACTGGAGAAATGGCTTCTGAAAATTCAGCTTTGCCATCACAGAAATAAATAACATTTTAAAATATATTAAATAAGACAACCGCTTTTAAAAATTGTAATATCATAATATTCTACTGTATTTTTTATCAAATAAATGCAACCTTGGTGAGCATAAGAGATTTCTTTCCAAAAAAATATTTAAAGAATTAAAAAAAAAATATTACTGACCCCAAACATTTGAACAGTAGTATTTTAAACAGTTAACTGATTCCAGAAACTCAAGCAGTTTCTACCTTCTGTCCGTTTTATTCTTTGTGTTTAATGTGTAATCAGTGCTGATTTAAAGCTTACTTGAGGGATTGCTCCATAATTCCAAATATAGCCTTTGTGGGGGAAAACATTGGCCACGTAGCGCAAATTGCCCTTCTTCACATCTTGCTTAATGGGGTTCAGTGGGTCTTTTGTAGCAATCTGAAAAGTAAACCACAATGTTATACATACAAACACCAACTAGTTGATGAGTCCATTTTTTTTTTTGAATGTCAATACACAACCCACCACAAAATGTAGGTTAAAAGTATTTTTCCTTTAACTGTACTGTAACCATTCATGTTTGTGAATATATGACCTTGCAAAATAAATAGCCTGTTACAAAGTCCTCTATTCTATTGTTTTATTCTGTTATACTGCAAGTGGTGTAGTTTTGTACTGTTGGTCATAGTTTACCTCCATTTTTGCATTTGTCCATCGTGGTACTTCAACAACCATGTGGAAAATGTTCTACAGAGAAAATAAAAACGATTTATTTTTATTAAAAAAGGGAAAGTAGCCTAAATGTGTCATTCCCATAATAAGTTAACCTTCATATAACTAAAAAAAATGTATGTAAAGCCATGAGAATGATTAATCAAAGTTTTACACAGGTAAGATATCAGGACAGTCCAAAGTATTGAACGATTTAAGATGACATTAATGAAAGGGTAAAGATCACTCCTCTTACAGACCAAGTACCTTCACCTGATAAAGAACTGATTGATATACACTGTGCTGGATTGTGAAATGGCCGTTCACTGCCAAAGGGGTCCCATAAGGGAGGGGGATCTACAATGAGACTAGGAGAAGAGAAACTAACAACATATTAAATTAACATACTGTACCTGAGCTTCATCTGCATACATAGGTATGTCATGGAATGGTGAAATGTACTTTCCATCCGAGTTCTCTGGTTGAAAAAACATTTTTTATTGCATAACATATTTCTGTACAAATAAATATTTTAAAAAGGAAGCTGATCTTGATTTCATCTGATCAGTGTTATCTGATCACTTAAACCCTGGCTGAGCACCTGATTTCCATATTAAGGCACAAATAAAAATAACTGAACAAAAAATGCCACCATGTCCTCTATTGTTTATCTTGAAATTGATACATAACATGCAATGAGTCCCCCCCCGTTTTTATTTTTCAAAGCAAGAAAAAAATGAATATATCTGTGTGATCATTTAAAGAACTATATCTATAAGAGTATATCAGACATTCAGAAATATGTTATGGTCAAGCCCAGTCACTTAAACTTAAATGGTATGTTTTGGATGCATTTATTGACTTTTATGAAGCATATCAAATAACCCAAAACATAACAGAATTAATCACACCACTATTCATGTTCAAAGAAAGCTGAGATATTCTGCACAACTTCTCACTAGGTGTTCCAAAGAAGAAAGTCTGGTTTGATGTATTAGTGATGACAGAATTTTTGTTGAAGTGAATTATTGCTTTACACTGCACACGTTAATAATAATGATCTTGCCTTGTGTGCATATAACTTATCAGTCATTTTACTTGTCAGAAGAGAGCAGGTGACGTCATGCTGCTGCTAAGGATGAGATGTCTAATGCACAGTTGGCAACTAAAATAAACAAAGCACACCCAATTTTGTGGAAAATTGTCCAGTGTATCTGCTTTAGTAACTTTATATTTTATTCAAATATATATTTTATATTGTTTGCGATGTTGCACCGTTGGTAATAATAACATACTATCATTTTTTGGGAGTTTCGGTTTTTAAATGTAACCGGTTTAACAGGTTTACGTTCTTCAAACTGAAAATAACTTTGCACAAATCTACAGTTAATCAGAAATTACAATAAACTTTATGGACCGATTACCAACTTAATTCGTAAAAACGTTAAATTTATTAATTTGAGATTTTAGGTCTTTTTTAGGTTTTAGGTCATAAATGACGCGAGAAAAAGCGACACGTGGGACTTGCGGCCCAGCCCCTTTCATCTTAATTCAATGAACTGTCCTCCTGACCGTACAAACTTCTCATCACCAATCCCCGAAGAACAGAATTCATACTTACTGAAATAAATCCTATAACTCAAAGTGTTAGGGTTTCCTCTTTCTTCAGTGGAGAAACTCATATTGTGCGCTCTGTGTATTGATTCCGGTAGGATGTGTGTAAAAAATACAGCAGCAGCGACGTGCTAGAGGAAATCGCGCATGCGCAGAGACTGAATTGCGCAAAAGACGTAAGCGTATGTGCATCTGATTTGTGAATCGGCAGTGATAGACAGTGCTAGAAGATCTTGTAAAAGGAAATATGAAATATCACACTTTGAATGCGGTTACTTTTAATGTGTTCAAAGACAGCTTTGCATATTTGCACCTAAAACCCTAAGCCTAAACTGTTTTTCTGCTCTTGGCTGGTTTGAGTTGGTTTTACAGCCTGGCCGTCTTACCTTTATTTTCTAAACAGTTCACCTGTTTTAGCTGGTCATCAAGGTGTTCTCTCAATCTAACCGACTGTCCCTAACCAAGTTCCCAAATCCAAATATTATACAATATATTAAGCAAGGGGGGAAAACTGAATATTTCTTGAGCAACAAATCATCATATTAGAATGATGGATCTGAAGGATCGTGTGACACTCAAGATTGGCTGCTGAAAATTCAAATATCATAGATATAAATAACATAAAATAATATTTGACATAAATAACATATATAATCTAACAATAGATTAAATTTATTTGAATTATAATATTTCACAATATTACTTTTTTTCTTGCATTTTATCAAATAAATGCAGTCTTGGTGAGCATAAGAGGTTTCTTTCTAAAACATTTGAAAATTCTTAATTATTCATTATAGTTATATAGCCTAATCTGAAGCGTACAGAATATGTTTATTCGCTATATTATATTCTTACGCTCTCGTTACCCTTCTTTTCTAATAAATATATATAATTCTATTATTTGATTCTAAATTATATTCTTGCTACCATCTAGCCATCTTTCCTCGCTGAATATTAAAATAAAAATACTGACGTTTCGCGGAGTGGGCGTTTGTGCGACGTAATTCTCCGTTGACGTCATATCCTCCTAGCGCTCTTCGCTTCCTGCCTGGCGGAGGGAGGGGTCGGTGCTGACGGCTGGGAGGACGAGCTGAACGTTAAGAAAGCCTTGGGAAAGCGATAAGAAACGAGGGGAAAGGGCCCGAGGTTTTTACCTTCCATCGGGAAAACTTGACTCTGATTAGCACCCAAAGCAAGTGCAATGTCGTCCAGTCGTCAGCTTAGTGAGAGCAGGGCCATCCCGACCAGGACGGTGCTGATCAACGAGTCAACGCAGCTACCTCACGATTATTGCACCACTCCCGGAGGCACTTTATTCTCCACCACCCCGGGAGGTAACAACCCAGACTTATATCTGCAGCCGTTTGCCTGATGTTTGTGTGGAGACCGTCTAATGTTAGAGGGTGGCCTGTGTTGGCCAGGAAGCCGTAACCACATAAAAGGCTGTGTCTCAAAACCTTGTGTTCAACCTGCTTAGACAGTGTTTTTAGGGGTCGTAGGAACGTTTAGTTAGTTTGCATGTAGACAGTCTGATGATGATCAAAATGTCGAGACGTTTAAATCGACGATGACCAAAACTTGTTGACTAGGAAGGCTGCTTCCTGTGCTTTTGAGACACGGCCATGCAGTTCAAAACAAAAACAGCGCCGCCTGTGCGTCTCTCTGATCAACACGATTGGTCCGCAGTGACTGATGGACAGAATAGAACCGAACAAAGGAATGCATTACATTAAACATATACAGAGAACGGCACATGTAGCAGTAAACACCCTACCAAGTGTCTTGATTGCTGTCAATCATTACTTAATTTTGTTGCGACCATTGATACTAAATTAGTCTTTGTGATTTCAAAAGCATTAAAATGTGCCATATTAACATCCGTTGCACTTTAAGGCAGATGATTATCATAAAAGTCCAAGTTCACTCAATTCTCATCTACTCATTCTCATATTGTTTTCAACCCAGTGTGACTTGTTTTCTTCTTTGTAACACTAAAGGAAATGTGTCAGATCAGATTGCTTCAGGATTATGACATTTTATGCAGGCTGGTAGTTATGTAATAAAACCAGCTTATAACAGTATGTTTATTATGACGATGCAGGAACCAGAATAATCTATGATCGCAAGTTCCTGTTAGACCGGCGTAACTCACCCATCGCCCAGACCCCACCAGCACACCTGCCGGTTATCCCAGGAGTGACAAGCAAGGACGTCCTGAATGAAAACAAGAGGAATAAGGCTAACAACATCAACAACCGCGATGCGAAGCCAGGGCAAGGTTAGTCTTTAAAACTGACCGAACTGGAACTGTTTCCACTGGAACCTCCCTGCTTTGTGCTCAATCATCTTATGTACACAAACAGTAATGGGTCTGGTTGACAAGGGTTAGAGACTAGTCTTCACTCGTACTATTTTCTTTTAGTGGTCATGCATGATTTTTTTTTTTTTTTTTGTGTGTTGCAGGTGAAGATGCTCAGTTTGAGATGGACATCTAAAGAAGAGGAACCAACGTGAAGAATTATTAATTACCTGGTACCTGTGTGCCAGTGGCTTGGCTTGTAGAAACCAATGTTGTGAGCCCTCTCCTTTAGTTCTCTCTAGCTGCTGGGTGCTGCGTAATCATGGGGATAAAAGACAAAGTTTGCCCAGTGGGGCTGCTGGAGCCCTGAAAGTTAACCTGGGAGCCTGTTGAGCTCTTTTTGTTTAGGTTTCAGGGCAGCCATCAGCTGTACTTGCTTAAGTCACAGAGCAAGGGAAAAATTCTGTATTGTAAGTGCCCGGATATGTTACCAATTTACCGTAATAAACAAATCAGCCATCAGAGATTCACTGCTGATAGATCAGAGTACACTGTTCCAGTTGATACCCTTAATGCAGTCTGCTTGGTTCACATGTAAACTGAGTTGCACTCAAGTCAGGAAATGCAGTTATCTGCATGTACATGTCCTCCCAAATGTAAGATTTAGATTAAGATCTTTTTTTTTTTTTTCATCCAAAACAATTACTGGATCTCTTTTTTTCTAGTTTTATTTAAAAGGGACAGCAGGATTGTCATCATAATTTTGATTTAAAAAAAATGAAAGGATTCCGTATTCATTCCAAGTCTTTTATATCAGTTAAAACAGTTGACTTTTTTTCTAGATTTTTATTTTCAGGTATTTGTTCAGCTCAGAAAAGTTTTATAGAATTGTCCAAAAACAGACCACAGACCTTAATTACTCCATTAAATTTATATAGGATTACAATGCCAAACAAATTTTACAGTTTTATTTAGAACTACCCCAGAATAAGCATTTCAGTCAGTAGTCTTCTAATTTACTTTCGCCCTTTTAGCTGGTTAATTTTAAGTAATAACATCTGATCGCAATTTTGAAAGACCAAACTGTTACTTTAGGTCAGAGAGAATGTTTCTGTTCTGCTAACAGTATGATTTGTACCTACCTTTGCATGGCGAGACACTTGAAATGTCAACATCAGCTCTTAATTCACATCGTCTAGTTAAAGGTAGACAATACCAAGTACCGTTGAACTGATCAAGTGTTTAATATACTTTATGAAACGATGACAAAAAGAGAGCTGGTCTCAGGAAGCACTTGCATTATGTACCTCACAAGTACACATCTTATGGCTCCGTTCCTGGGAGAAATAGCACGGTGAATATTTAACATTAATATCAGCTGTGACATCTACTGTCACTTTCCGATTACTACAATCCTTACGAACCTTGATAATCAAATCAAAGGTAGGAAAGCATTGAAGTGTTGTTTTGGTCATTTTACTATTGTCTGTCTCACAGCCACACAATGTGAACGATCCTTTGAAAGATGGATAGTTTTGTAGTGACCAGACATTCATATTTTGATTCAGATCAAACATCTTGAAAACTTGAATTCAATCTTTCCAATGCTCTTCTATGCATGGTCTTTTGGTCGGCTTTTTAGTCTTTAGTTCACAGATCATTTATATGTCGTTGAGTTTTTTTGGGATGCCAAATCTTGTGGAAAATGAGAAGGTTTGATTAATATTGAAATAGAATTAAGCAAAGAGATTATCCAAACAAAGTGACTTAAAGAGGATAAGACTTATTCTCATGACTTTAATTGTCTCGTTCTGTGCTCTGGTCATTCTCTGAAGCACATAATTTTTCTCTCTCTCTCTCTCTCTCTAGCTCTTGCTCTCTCTCTCTCTCTCTCTCTCTCTCTCTAGCTCTTGCAATAATAATAAAAATGAAAAAAAAATGGTAACATAGATATGCAAGTAAATTTAACTGAATAATCACACTAGCACTGAGTGAGAAACAGTGAGTGAAAAATAGGAAATAGGTAGCTAGAAGAATGTGCTTTTAATTGACATGGAAATATTTCACATGCTAAAAATATCTCTATTTTTTTATTGGTCAAAAATGCAGTATCTCAGTCCAATTTTCCGACTGACCTATATTGTGTTTCCACAGTTTAAAATGGATTTGCTCAAAATATCTGAGCCCTACTGACTCAACATCATAATAGCAGGTTTGCTGGTCCCCCTTATCCCATGGTGCAACACCCTATACCAACTCCCAAAAAAGGGCTAGCATTGACTGTGGTCGTAACCTTAGCATTAAAAGTAGAGTTTCTCTCTGGCCACAACACACTTAAAGGGAACAGAAGCTTCACAACACTCAGGAGAAACAGTTCAACTCCCGTTATTCAACAGCATAACATCTTTGACCACATATTAAATTGCATTGTCTAGGATGAAGTTCCATATCAGTCTGACATGTTACTCATATTTATACATAACAATCAAAACGTTTTTTAGTAAACATCCAAGCCTACAAGGACAAAGCGTTTCTTCTGGTCTACACACATTTTTTCTCTCTCTCTCTCTCTCTCTCTCTCTCTCTCTCTCTCTCTCTCTCTCTCTCTCTCTCTCTCTCTCTCTCTCTCTCTCTCTCTCTCTCTCTCTCTCTCACTCACTCACAGTGATCTCTTGTGCTTAGCTTCTGTATCCATGCCTTACTTTACTAAGCTGAGCAGCTGTGTCAAATATAGTTCCCTTTCATACCTTAAATACAGGATCAGTTCCTTTCTGTTTGATTTCTTTCCAACTTTCAAGTTGAGGATAAGATCAAGATATTGCTGTTTTACTAGAAAACATTATATTTTTGGAAACATGTTTGTTATTATTTACTTTCTTACAGAGATGGAAAGATTTGCAGATACAGCAGTGTAATATTTGTAATAGTAATGGACTGGTTAAAAAATAAACACGGTTTAGGTTCGACTTTGATCGGTTGCAGTTAACGTTCTATAAAATATTCAATATTGGTGAAATCCTTGACAATTAGATGCACATTTTCATTTTCGGTTTGATTTATAGACTTTTGTATAAGTCATATTCAAGTAATAATGATTTGTAGTAAAGGGAAGTTGATATACTGTCCTTCTGTAATAGATTTGTCAAATCCCAGCTTGTTTCAACTCTGGGATTCAAGCATCACTGCATACTTTTTCTTCATACTTTCCCCAGGTCTCAGAAACTTTCAGAAATGCATTTAGCTCTCTGTTTGATGGGATTTAGGATGAAAGTTTTATCTAATGTGGCAGAAATTGGAAACTGTATTTTCTTTCTTCTTTGAGACCCTGTTCAATTTAATTTTAATGAAATGCCAATGCCAGTGGATACTGTTACAGCAAGATCAATAAAAGTTCCTTGATATCAACTTGTCTGTTTGTCTTCTCTGCCAAATGCTTGTGCATTTCAATATGCTTGAATGTCATGTAAACAAGCGGTTTGAAATACTAGGGTTTGCCGCCAGATGGAGCAGTAGGGTTAGTGTACCAGCTCTTAGTTTTATGAATGCAAAATCGAAAAAAGATTCTGGTCCTCTGTAAGTTAGTTTTGGCTCTGGTTTTTGTAAATGCTAAATTGTTTTATACCAAAGCGGGAGTTCTCAATGTTTCTTTTCTTGTCTCTAGCTAGAAGCCCTTATTACAGTAGATGAATGCATGTGAAGAGAGCTTGGTTGCTTGGAAACTCATGGCAACACGATGTGTCCACTTCACACCAGCGGTTCAAGCACAGGCTGTTTTCAATGCAATGAAAGACATTCGACACAGTGGCAGTGGTGAAAATTAAGAACTTGACCAACAGTGAGCACAATTATTCTCTGCAATCTGCAGCAATTTGAGGTTGAGACCTTGCGATTAACTATCACCATTACAAGAAAATCAAGTCTAACCCAGAATTTTATTAAGATCGTACTGTTTAAACTTATAAGTGTCAGCTTATTCATACTCTGCCCCCTACATCGCAGGCTTTTCAATATTTCAGGCATGTCTGCAGGACCGTTGCTGGGAGATGGAGCTGTTACTGACTGGTGAAAAGATGAGAATCCACCCACAGACATCCTCCTCTCCCATAACATTTATTGCCAGTGAAAGAGGCAGCTGAAGAAGGTGGCCATTCTCTCCTCCTCTCCTCCCTCTGTGTTATCCATCTGCACTGCTGTCTGTTGAGACTCGCTTTGCTGGATTGACACCTTGACTGCATGTCTTTGGACCTGTGAGGGACATTGACAGGACTCAAGATGAGTGTGACATGGACTTGGTCTTCTTCTACCTTTAATTGTTTCTCTCAAGTCCTGACAGGTGTCTGAGAGAGCGGGTAACCAGGTGAGGAAACTTTTATGATATTTGCTATCCTATTACCTTGTCTTGGCTTCAGGGTAGAAATATGTGCTCTATTAAGTCTTCAATTATATAATTTTGTCTTAAACTGTGCTTGGCATAGCTAAGTTTGATTCTCTTATCAGTCAGCATCCTGTGAAATGCTGGTGGGCAAGTGTACTTACTAAGTACTACACAAGAGTGGATTTACATGAACTCTCAGAACATTGTAAAACAAAATGATTAGAGAATGGGATATTGTTTTTATACAACAGTTTAATAAAGTTAAAGTAACTTGCATTTTAGATACTGTATTGCCAGTTAGTTTTTTTTTTTTTTTTACTCCGAAACGAACAACAAAATTAGTTCTAAAGAAGCCACAGATTAATAGTGGAGTGTCTAAATGAATCAGTGTTTTGAATGATTTGGTTGAGTGAATGATTCAATGCATGAGTCACTCGCCACCTCCTGGCATATCAATGTAATATGCAGAAAGAGTCACTGAAAAATATCTAAAATATTCTTTATTTCCAAGGATTCTATAGTTCATTTTGTTAATGGCCAAAGTAAGAAACAAATGAAGTAATGCACTAATACAGTTACCACAGAAGCCTAAATCCATTAATAAAGAAATGAAAATTTACAATAGGTTAACATTTATTTAGTGTAATAAAATAAAAAGGTTTTATTATTATCAAAGGTTATTAGTGGTTCAGGGAAAAATCTCGATTTATTTATTTTATTTTATTTTAGGGCCTGGTTTGACTCACCATGCATTTTTAAAAACCGTGTTGCAGTGTGTATATGTGTTACATGGCCATTTATGATCATTGTTTCAGTATTTTCAAAGTCTGATTGTGATGTTGATTGAAAGCCTAACACACATGAACAAAACACTGCAGTCGTTTTTAAACTCCTCATTTCTTAGCGAGAACGAGGATGTGCCAATCACTGGTCACTCCCACTCACTGCATATCTGTACACTGATCTGTGCAGCATTGTACAAATGCATCCCGGGGCCTTTCCCATCCATATTTAGAGATTTTTTTGTTGTTGTTTTTTGTTCTGTGACCGTGATACTCGGACTCAACTGGAATTTAAATCAAGCCCCTGAAAAGGGAAGCATTGCTCTTGGTGCCAGCGACTCAGTATCCCAAACTTTCAATAGACCAGCCAGTTATATAAACATAAGGCAGGAATGTCCTAATGACATTCACAGAGCTATCATATATTTCCCAGTGATATCTCTCTGGCACAAACTTGATCTTATGAAAGAGGAGGGGAAAAACAGGATTTCTTTAATTAACTGTATTATCGCTGCAGTTCAAGCAGGAAAATCGTTTGGCTTCATGATTCTGACATCAAACACTTTCAGATTTCGGTAGATGTCAAAGCATCAGAAATCTTTCATCTTGCACTTTCTCTCACTTTTGGCTTTCTGTAATGTCTCCGTCATGGCCTTTGCATGGGCCGTCCCTGTGAATGTCTGGAGCAGCCCACACTGTCGTCTGGTTGCCAGATGTACTGTATTTCTTCGTAGCTCTCCCTGTCATTGTGAGAAGAGAACCAGAGAGGCACTGAACGAGAAAGAGAAGAAAAGAGATTAGCAAAACATCGGTGGTGGTTGGAGTTAAAATAAAAGGCTTTTTATGTTAAGATTCTGCTAGCAACAGGAAACCGAGTTCGTGTTGACAGGATTTGCACTTAAAGACAGACCTGAACCCTTGCTGAAACTAAGATGCAAAAACCAAAGGATGTGAACACACGTGGCATAGCTGTGAGACCGTAAGCCATTCATTTAACAATCAAATATGACAGAGATTCTATGCACATGCAAATTTGATAGTCTGACTTACTTTTAGGTCTGTAGAACACATTCAAAGCTTCAATGATGTGTTTTTTAGGGGGTTTTGTTGTGCATTTCATGTGTTGGGGTTCCAGGAAATTGAAGTGTGTCTGGCTCTTTAAAAAGTGCAAATGTTAGAAATAACCCTATGTAAAATGACTAACATGTCTGCCTGTTTACTTTATATTAGTCACAGTATAAATCCTCATTCCAGCTCTGTGCAGATTATGGGTGCGAGTGCCAGTGCAACTTCCCAGGCTGCTCCGTTTGCACCTACACACCAGGCTGATCACCAAGGGAACGGCATGGCTGAGCACAGACGCTCCCTACAGTCAGTGAACATTCGCAACAGCAAGGCCAAATCCATCATCACAAACAAGGTGGCTCCTGTTGTCATCACGTAAGTGACAAGTGCAACATGATGCTAACTGTCCGTAAGGGCCCTCATATGCACAAAATGTCACACCTGTGTGTTACTCTGAGCGAAAACTATTGTAGATACTGTCAACAGCTTCACTTTGACTTAAAGGGGCAGTTCACCCAAAAATTAAAATTCTGTCATCGTTTACTCACAATCATACTGTTCCAAACCTGCATGAGTTTCTTTCTTCTGTTGAACACAAAAGAAGATATTTTAAAGAAAGATAGTTATCAAACAGTTGCTGGTAGCCATTGACTTCCAAAGTATGAAAAAAAATACTATGTAAATC